TCAGGGAAGATAGATCAGTGAGATTACATGCATCTGACATGTTCATTCAATTGCCCTTCTGCAATGCAGGGATTGTATCATTCTGTTCATCACTGTAAAGACTCTTTGCTTCTGACATAACCTTAGGACATTCTTTCCCCAGAAATGGTTCTTAAACTTCTCTGAGATAAGCAGCTGAAGGGCAATGGTAGGAAACAGACCAAATACAATGTACCTGAGGTGAAAGTTCTTAAATTAAAGAATAGGAAATTATCTGCTCAAGTTGTTTCACATTGGAAAAAAACATGGTTTCACTAAACCATATCTCTTCCTTCAGAATACCTTTAGTTACACCAGAAACATTTTGATGAAAAATTGAGATGTGTTAACTAGAAAATACTGCTCTTAGGTCTCATAGGGGTTGTTGCTCTTTATGAATTCCAATCCTTTTCCTGTCTAGGCTTCTGTGAGACCTTAGAATATGGAATGATACTGCTTATTGCCTACTTGTTCTACCCAAAGCTAGGAAATGTAGTCTCATTTGTAAACTCAGACTGTAAAAGAGAATAAAAGCATAAACAACCGTATAATTACTCATCTGTGCATCTTGATGTGTTTTCTAAATTGGCATCTTTACTACACAAACTTTCATCAAAAATCCATCCATTTTTTGTTTAAAACTTTTGTTTTCATCAACATTTTCTCCAAGAAAATATTTTTAGCCAGCTTTCTGAAGCCAGTGATTATCAATGGGAGGATACTCCTTCTGCTCTTTATGCTTCTTTCTGGAAGCCAGGCCAGCTGGGAGCTAGCCTGATTCTAAGAAATGATGCTGCAGTGAAGCAGAGGAGTGCTTTGCATATGACTATGCTCTTCCTGCAGAAATTCCATGTTCAGTTTAAGAAATGACATCTGAATCTTTACCATTTTCACATGACCTGCAAACTGTTTCCCATCAATACTTTTTAGCTTTCCTCCATTTTCAAATTAAATAGCAAGTGCATTGGTTGAAGAAAACTGGCAGGTTGTGAGGTTTTACAAGAGCAGTCATATGTCTTGGGCTAAGGGTGAGACATAAACAGTGGTTATGCAGGATCTCTCCTTCCCAAGAGCTCCGCTTAGAACCACCATCCATTTAATCTCCTGAGCCCTATTTGCTCCATGGCAGAAGCCCTGTAGAAAGCCTTTAAGAAGGCTCTGTCTTCTCCAACTGGTTTGGCAGAGGAGATCAAGTAATTAAACCTTTGATGGATAGCAGTCAGCATGGGACAGAAGCCAGTGCTGGGATCATGTTATTTCAGTCCCTGACATCTGCATGAGGAGGGCTGCATCTGACACCAGGGGGGTAGATGGAATCAGGTAGGAGTGAGGCTGAAAATGTGAACAAAAAAAGACCAAAGGGAAAGCAAGTGAGTGGTGCTACAAAATGCAATACTGGAGAAAAATTATGAACACAAGAGGTGGAAACAAGAGAAATCTAGAAAAGCTGAACAAAGAAAGAGAAGAAACAGGGAGAATAAAAAACTAAATACGAAAATTACAAAACCAGAAAAAAGATGTTTGTCAGGGAATGGAAAGCAGGATGCAAACAGAAGAGGGAAGTTTTAAAGAAATAATGAGAAAAAAAACTCATATTGACAATATAGGAGGATAATGTTAAAAGAAAAGAATAGGTAACATAACCTGAATGTAAATAAACAGTTTATATTTTGTAGTCTGGAGAGACTAGAACCTCAACTAGACGGCTCGATTTTCGAATCAGATTAGACTGATCTAAATTTAACTGAACGAACATTAAAGCAGGATGGAACAGCGTGGGGTGTGCATGTCTGTGTGTGCTTACTTTCTTTTAGAGTTTAAAAAAACCCCATGTCATTCCAGAAGCAGCATGTGGGTGCTGGAATAATCCAGATGATGCTTTTGTTTTCCTTATCTTTCAATATTTTATTTCCTTAATTAGTGGTGGCAGAAAACTAACGGGGTGAGATGTGAGAAACCACAATAACCATTAGCTAAACGAGAGCAGATTTTCTGTCAGGGCTTTAACATATGAACAAAAACTAGCTACATGTGGGGGCTCCATTTGCATAGCATGCAGATTTTCAAACAGTTGTGATAACAAGAAAAAATCCCTTTCCATTTGCTGCAGAATAAAGCACAAAGCGTCTGCAAGGAGGGCTGTTCGGGTTTTGTAACTGGGTCAAAAGAAAACATAGTGAGAAGGTAAGTTGAACGAGTTTTAACTTGGGCATTTGCCTACATGGTGAATTTTTCACCTCTGAAAGACTGTTATTCATGATGAGTATTTAACTAAAAGCATGAGATAACTCGTAATTTAGAAAAGACCTGTATACGGAACAAGATAAGCAATAGTGTTTGAAACAGATAAACTAAAATTCTGATTTATCTTTTAATTAAGCATTAGAATTCTTACTTATCTTTTAGTGACTCTCATTCCATGAATCAGTGTTGACAGTATTCGGCTGCTTTGCAGGCTAATCTGTCAGTATTCCAAAAGTAGGCTGTTGTCTGAGTGAAGTGCTGGAATCTGTTGCTAGCAGCAGAACTGCTTCTTTGACTATGGATTACAGTCACTGTGGACTTAGTTGGTGGTTTGAAGTCACATACATTTTTGTAATACAAGGGGATTTTCTACTTCTGTTACTCATTATTTGCTGCTTATATGACCACCATGGGCTAGGTTTGTCTTTGTGTAACAAAGTTTGTTTTACAAGATGTAGATCCACCTCTTTAGTCCCAGCATTATGAGAAAGAAGCTCTTAAAAGGCCTACAGTGAAATGGCCCTCAGTGAAATACTGGCAAATTCCTTTACCAGCATAGAATGTGCTCTTATTCTGAATTTGCTGGTTTTAACAGGTTTTAATGTTGAATGTTTTAATGCCTGAATTTGCAGGTTTTAATGTTTCAAAATGTCAGAGACTGTGATGAAAATGTTATGATGGAACTTTTAATAAATTATGAAATAAATCATATAGTGAAAAGAACTTCACTATTGCGATTAAGGATGTCTCGAAAGAATCGTAAGGTCTGGGCACCTTTCCAAACATCTCAGTGCAGAAAACCAAAATGCAGTGCAGTTGTTTAGCACCCTGCACCGCATCACTGCTCATGTACCCTTCCCATTCATCCCTCTGCCTCTGTGCTGCCCTTTCACACTGACCAGCAGCTCAGCTCCCCTTGCTCATCTTCATAGGCCAGTTAAAACATATGTGTCCTTCAGCAACTGCTGCAAGTCACTAAACCTGGACTGCTTCAGACAGTTAAGACACAGTGGTGAGCATGGTGGCTGCTAAGACTACAAAGATTGTCCCACAGACCACAAAGGTCCATTCAGTGTCATGTCATGCTTCTGAAGTTGGACAGAGATAGACACCTGGGGAGAAGAACATCTGCCTCATGACTTGTTCATCCTTGCAGCTTTTAGGTATCTGTCTTTTGACCATTGATGCACCTTGTTCTTTTAACTGCACCTGCCAGTTTGATTTATCAATAGAAATTTAAAATAGAGATAACCTTAGTCATCTGCTACAATTGTTTCTCTTGGCCTTCTGTCTTTACCTCTCCTTTTCTTATACATATTATTTCCTCTGTGTAACTGGACTTTACCAGACCATATTTCAAATACTTACCTACATTATGGATTTAATCATAACCTTCCCCAGATCTGTCATGACAGGGAACAGTTTAGTTCAAACAGCAATAAGGAGGACAAATTAATCGTACAGTGAGTTATCTGAACCACAGCCCAGATAGATTTCATGCTTTTTTGGCTTTGTATGCATGAAACAGTGAAGATGGCTTTTCAGTAGCAGCAATCAAAGCATGTATGCACCGTGTCCACACATGCTTACACACATAGGAAAAAACAAAACCTGCATTTCAGGGTTTTTAAGTATCTTTGTGTTGATCTATGCAAATATGTTGGGATTTTGTCATAGCTGCAGCCAAGGTCCTGGTTCCCATGAAAATCAGCCATTGAGAAAATGAAATGTGCCTGCTTAAAATAGAAGAAACCATTATGACATGATACTCTAAATCTACCAAGTCATATTTTGACACTATGTAGCGTTTTGGTTTTGTTCTCTGTCTATGGTTAGCAGAAAGCAGTGCCATACCGAAGCTGCTAGGAAGCCATTGCTATTGTGATATGATCACTTTTGAAAAAGAAATGAGCATGACATCTATCACCTTGCATTTCTTTAGGTCCAACGTTCTATTAATTTACTCTAATCTCACAAGGCTGTCTGTATTAATGCCATCTGGTGTCTCTAATGAGTTCTCAAGCTCCAACTGAAAGTTCACACACACAATTTCTAAAATAAATAGTTTGAAGTGGTTTGTTACTATTTCTGTTTTTCCTGTTACTGCAACGTCTAAGTTGCATTAAATTATCAGAAACTAGGGCCTGGAAAAGAAGCATCATAAAATAAAGTATTTTCATGTCTAGTTCCAACTGACTTTAAGGACAGATGTAAGCAGCATGCACGCAAGCAGCAAATGTTTGTGCCAAACAGGCAAATACAACTGCATGTTCCTTCCTCACCTTGCATATTTTATCTTAACAGCTCAGACAAAATGTTTGGACAATGTGCACCTTGAAAGAAACCAGACTATAATGTTTTTATTTAGAAAACCAGCAGTTATTCAATTTGGTATCTAACACTTGTCTCAGTTACAGTAACTACTGTAAGTTATCTTGCTGATTTAAGTAATTAGTGATTAAACTGCTCATGTGCATGACATGAAGTGCATCCTTTGCAAAATTAGACCATCATTCAGTCTGTGTTCAGAGCACAGTGCAATTAGCACCCTACTTTTTATTATTCTAGTGCTAGTATATTAGTCATAGGTAGCCTAGTGACTAAATGACATGCCTCCAGCTTGCTTGCTTCCAGCATAGATAAGGTTAAATATGTTCCTTTACGTAAGAAACCAGGTTATTGTTATTGCTTGTCAGGAGGAAGTGGTGATTATTTCAATTTAATTCTGTACCTTTAACTATTGCTGTTATTTCTTGTTTTTCAAATTAAAGTGTGCTCCTGTGGAGGCTGATGGTAAATGTGCTTGAGGCAGCCACAAAAGAATGTAACAGAATCACACATCCTCTTTCACCGATCTTCAGCCCATTTTCAAATCTGGTAAGTACCAAAACAAAATAGGGGATCTATAATGTATGTGTACGTGATGAATGTTTTAAACTGAGCACATAAGTCACAGTGCACTTACAATGGTGGGCAGTGCAAAAATATTTCTTGACTCCCTCCAAGTACTGAGAGTTTTTAACCTTATAGAATTCTGCCTGTTTCCTGAGGTCTTTCTGCATTCATTTTCTTTTGCTTGTATAGTTCAAATAATCTATTCATATTCAAGACTGTAGTTTAGTCTTACTTTTGAGTACTCATATATTGCTTTCATAGTGAAGAGAAATACGATAATGTGGATAAAGTGGAAAAATAATAAGCTAAAAAAAAAAAAGCAAGGCTTATGTATTTAATATTCAGAACATAAGTATGTTTGTGTCCACACACATGGACACGTGCTTATATGTAGCATTTGAACAATGTTAGAGCACACACACACCATATATACATGGAAATTTATTTTTAATCATCTCTTAATACATTGATGCTAAATAAAGCCATAAATATGCAGATTATAAATTATAAAGGTATGTGTTGAAAGACTGTTAGAAAGATTTAAATTGAAAAGAAAATTGTGCTTAGAGAGTTCTGATTCCACTTCCTTTGCAGCCAGTGCATCTTCTTAATAACTTCAGTGAATGCTGCTTCAAATTCAGACATCAGCTTGAGAGCTTTAAATCAGGTTCTAAATCTGATTTCTGCAATTCTGGTTTCAGCTGAGTCCTTTTCTACTACTCTCTTACCAACTGTCCTCATGAAGTTTGCTGGACAGTGGAAGTCCTCTTCTGAATAAATCTGTTACTGGTGGTGCCTCTGTGAATTTCCATGGCATCAGGGAGAGCACAGAGCTCTCCTGTGATGTGTAGCTGTTCCCTGCAGGCTTCTGCTGAGCTTTTCTGAGGGCTAGAGAGCCCTTCTTCAGTACTAATCTGAAGAGAGCTCCTTTCTTAGCCCTACTTGCAAGCTGCAGGCATTTCTTGTAAATGCCTTCCCTCTGTCCTCTTCCTTCTACATGTTACACTAGTATCTGGCTGAGTGGAATGATGAATGATTGTTTTATAGACAATATATGCTCTCAGGGCTCTCTTTGTATATTTTAACCATGTATGTCCTAGAAAGATATGAATATTGGATACCTGGAAAGATATTTTTCTTATAAGAATAAAATAACAGTTTCTAAATTATAATTTAGACAAGTGCCCATTTAGTGTTGTTTCACTGAAGAGTTACTCTAGCTGCAGCCAGGTGCTAAGGGTAACAGAAACACCAAGCAAGGGCATGGGCATCTGATTGGATGGGGTCAGAGAGCAGTAAAACAGCAGGTGGAGACTAGAGATGCTAAAAAATGGGCTGAGGGGACAACAGCCCCAGGTGAACTGTACAACTTACCTGCTTGCCTTATCTTTCTACATATGAGAGACACTTTAAAGTGTTTAAAGCTTGCTTCAGAAGGTGTTCAAGTGCTTTCAGGCTGCCATATTCCTGCAGCTTCTGAAAATCAGCTTTGAAAAACCAGCAGAGGAAGCTGGAGAGGTGGTTAAAGACTTATTTAAAGAGCAGGGAACCAGAGAACTTGTGACGCTTAAGCAAAATCATATAGCATGGCTCTTTACCCATCTGCAGTTTTCTGTCATGAGCCAGCCTTCCATGAGAGTCTCATCCTCGTGTTTTTGGAGGGTGTTCAGTGCTTTCCCTCCCCAGCTTCCCAATTATATCCAGGCTGCATCTGCCTCACTTTCACATATTATCTGTCTTTCCCTCTCTCTCAAAATTCAGGTAATTCCCAGACAGGAAGGATTTGTTTAGCTAGGCTTAAAGTTGTCCTGTGAACACTTCCTAACTAGCAGCACAACTAACAAAAAGCAGGCAAAGTCTAGACAAAACTGTTATTCACAGCCTTAGCAAACATGGGACCTCATGTCATCCAGTCCCTGCTATTACTGAATTTCTGGCATGTGTCAGTCTCACAGAGCAGCTGATGGGAAAGGAGGACTGAACTCATGCAGGGAAATGCCAAGGAACTAAACCTCTTGTCCATGGGTTCCTGTGTAAGGTTAAACAAGTCGTTCAAGCCCAGATTTGTGCAAGTAGCCAATAATGGCATGTTCTCAATTTTGTCTGTCTGTGACTTTAGACTCTGTGGTATGATTTGCAGAAGTCTGAGCTTGGCTGAAACCAGAGTCAATGGATTTAACCCTTTACATAACTGAAGTCCTTCCTAATGCTAATCCCTCTTAAAAGTGATGTTAGGGGGGGATAGGTGTCTTAAACTCAATATTTCAAGTGGATACTTACTCTAATGACTCATTTCTTTCCTGCAAAATAAAAGTAATAATTTCTCACCATAGGGTTTTGTGCAAATTAATGACCATTTGTAAAATACTTCAGTATCACAGTGATGAAGAAATAAATTGTTTTTAGAGAGTGCAGTCTATAACACAAAGACCTGAATGCTGAACAAAGGAAAAACAATGTTAGTGCTCAGTCTGTTCATATGTTACACAGTAGAATTCAATTATCCTGGCACTCTAATTTTACCTCAGTAGTGTAATAAAAACATCAAATTATGCGATGTTAAAAGTGCTGAGACACACTGATAAAATGCCAGAGCAAAAAAAAAAAAAAAAACAAAAAGTCACAGTGCCCTATTACTGTTATGGATATTTGTTCTGCATTTCCCTCAACGCACTGATTGCCATTGTCATACAGAATTTCTAAGAGTAAAATTTAATCTACTCTAATTTCTTGTGGTGCAAAGTCAATGTTAAGTAGGAGTCACATATTCTCATGTATTGTTTATTACCTTTATAAATAAACATTCCATATGTAAGATTGTGCTTGTAATGATACTGATACAAACCAGCCACTTTCCACAACTGCACACTGTGATGCAGAAATGTGTGATTTGTTGAGATGCTCCTCTGTATTGTTTATACAGTTGGAGTGATGAGATTCTTCTTTGAAGAAAGTTCTATTTCCAGCTGTGTTTTTTTACTTGCTCGCGTTTCTTGTGCTGTTTTCCCAATCCGATCTAATTTATTTTCTTTTCAGAAATACTTGGGAAAGTATTTTGAAGTTCTTCTCAACGTATTTTACTTGCTGAGAAGAGTACTGCCAAAATGAATTGTGTAAGTATTTAACTGATAAACTATATTAGTACCTCAATGAAGCAACGGATCTGGAAGTTCCAGCTCTTTGAGGCTGCTGGTTCAAATACCCTAATAGCAGGAGTGATTAGCTGAGGAGATGTTTCAGACAGCAGAATTTGCTGTCAAGGCACACAGTTTCTTGGGTTTGCACTCTCCTAATGTAACTACAGGTTTGTTGTTTGTGGTGTGTGTCTCAGGTTAGCCTTCCTGATTTGCCTGTCTAGCTGACTGGAGAAAAGTAACCATTCTGGGGCTTGATGTATACAAGCTACATTAGTGTGAAATGCAGAACATGCTAGAAGGAAGTCTAGACCCCAACTTCAAATTCAGACTTTTATACTGTATTCTATGACATCAGACTAATCCTTCCTGCATAATGTATTTTAAGGTGGAAACCTTTGGTCCACCCCAAAAGATTATCTCCATGTTCATATTTTAATTCAGATTTTATGAAATTCCTGAGTTAGTCTCCTCTGCAGTGTTAAATGCATTTGTAATTGGTTTTACAAATTTGTGATTTGCAATTCTCACTGTGTAGTTGGTGGAAACAGTGTAAAACACGCAGGAAGAAAAAGTAATGCGGAAGGTCTTTAGATGAGTTGGATATAGGCTTGAAGCTGAGACATGAGAAGGACTGAATAGAAGTATCACAGTTATCATAAGAGAAATTTCACTTCTATTTCAAATCAACACGCCCTATAATGATTGTTTACCAAGTTTTGACAGAATTCCAAGGTACTGTATTTTCATGACTTTGTTATCTATCATCTTTCTACTGCATAGAAATTAGAGATTAATACCTCTGATATTAACTGGTGATCTTTTCTTTTACAGACAGAGTCGTGTACCTCAGATTTGTGTACCTCAGAATATCAGTATTATTCAGACTACGCTTCTCTAATCGCACAGCCTTGTTCTAAACTGGAAGTCAGGAACTTCACAAAAGCATTTCTGCCAGTTGTGTATTCATTGATTTGTATCATTGGCTTAGTTGGTAACATCTTCGTAGTGATGACCTTTGCTTTATACGAAAGAACCAAGTCCATGACGGATGTGTACCTCCTCAACATGGCCATAGCAGACATACTGTTTGTTCTCACTCTTCCATTGTGGGCAGTGAATTATGCTACTGATAAATGGATTTTTGGTGATCTCATTTGCAAAATCACCAGAGGTATCTATGCAGTCAACTTCAGCTGTGGCATGCTGCTTCTGGCCTTTATCAGCGTGGACCGGTACATTGCTATTGTACAGGCAACGAGGTCGTTTAAACTCAGGGCAAGAACACTCGCATACAGTAAACTCATTTGTTTGGCTGTGTGGGTATCATCAATTTTAATCTCTACTTCCTCTTTCCTATACAGTGAAAGTTACAGCTTCTCCACCAATGAAACCAAAGAGATTTGTGATCAGAAATTTGATAGAATGTCTGACAGCCCAATGTTGAAATCACTGCTGCTGTGTCTACAAGTTGGATTTGGATTTTTCATACCTTTCACATTCATGATTTTTTGTTATACATTCATTGTCAAAGCCTTACAACAAGCTCAGAATTCCAAGAAAAACAAAGCAATCCGTGTGATTATATTAATTGTAGCAATTTTCCTAGTTTGCCAGGTACCTTATAATATTGTTCTTCTCCTGACAGCCATAAATATGGGCAAGATAGACAAATCTTGTGAAAGTGACAAGATAATGGCCTATGCGAAATACACCACAGAAGCTATAGCATTTTTACACTGTTGCATGAACCCTGTGCTTTATGCGTTTATTGGAGTGAAGTTCAGAAGTTATTTTGTGAAGATAATGAAGGACCTATGTTGCATGAGGTACAAGAAATACTATAAGCGTGGTTCAAGGACAAACTCTGATATTTATCATTCAAGACAGACTAGTGAAACTCTCACTGACAATGGGTCTTCTTTTACTATGTAATACAATTTGAGCACCATTACTACTGAAGGACTCTTCTCACTGAGCAACCCATACCAGTGTCACTGCTTGTGACTGCAAGCCATTTGGGCTTCTCTGACCTTTAAGGGAGCTGCCACAGTCTACAGCTCCTCTCAGGAAAAGAATTACAACAAAAGAATAACAGTCCTATGGAAAATTGAACTCTTATTCACCTTTCTAACATTCACAATCTCCTGAAGTGCAATCTGTCAGAATTATCGGGAAAATTAAGTTTGCAGAGGAACCTCCCTTGTTTTCTAAGGAAAATTTGCATTTCATCTGTCCTACATCACTGAAATATCCCCCAAATACGAAGCAAATTAATCAGTTTATGTCCAAGCTCATTCTACTTATGTTTATGTTGTTTCTGTCAATTACTTCTCCTGGAAATCCTATTTAAGTGTAGATCTACACTCTGCTTTTTTTGCAGACAGGTCACGCTGTGACAATACTAACCTAAAGAGATGGCATTTTGAGCAAAGTATGGCAAGGAAAGCAAACAGAAATGAACAAACAGGCTCAGGGCTTCTGACATAGCTGGTGTTAGGTGTTAGGTCTTGTAGACCCAGCACTACGCTCCCCGCCCCTGCTCATTGGGACCTGCTTAAACCAAGGCTAAGTCTGGTCAAAGCCAACAGTGTCTACTAGAGAGAATACTAGGAGAAAAGAAAATTATTAATTAAAAAGAACACTGAAATATCCCTAAAAAGTTTTTATGACATCTCCTGATAGTGTCTTATGAACAGAGAATGGGGCTTTGCTTGGGAGGTTCTTCTCATCTTTAGGCACAGGATTCCAGTTCTGGAATAGCTGGTAACCTGGTGAATGTCTCTTTGTGAAAAGTTGTTTCTTTCTAGATGAAATTCACACTCCACTTTTTACAAGGCAGCAAAATGTACAGAACTGCAAGATTTCCAACACTTTCTGTTGGAACTTGACTAGTGACAAGGCTTGATGCATTTTTTGGTATTTAGCTACCATTACTTAAGTTTCATTAGGAATGGATTTGCTAGCAAAAATATGCGTATACAAAATTATGTTATTAGCTTCAGAAATTATTAAGAACTACATCTATAAATAAGAGCAGAGTCTGATTTAATTCTATCAGAATTTTTACCGAGTCAGCATTGACTCACTATGAATATAGAAATATTTATAATAAATGCAATTAGTTCTACCTAGCCATGACTTTTCAGCAATCCTCAGTGGATCTTCTGGTCATTGAGTGAGCTTCACCACACCATAGCAGTCATGGTGGGATGGCAAGATTGACAGGAGCAGGAACTGGAGGGTAGAAGGGCAGGGTGGAGGACAGAAGAGGAGCACCACTCTTTGGAGTCTGCTGAACTACCTGCCAGTCCTCCACAGTTCTGCTGCGATGGGAGCACAAACCGCATGTCTGGGTTTGCTGTTGTATGGGACATTGCAGTCCTATGCTGTGTAAATTAATGCGATTTGCAGATTGCTGTTAAACTTGGTTGTTTTGTTTTAAGCTCATAGCTGAAGAGCTTGAATTACTAAACACATTGTTTACTGGCAGGCCGAGAAGGACAATGCTGGAGATGAATATTCCCGGAGGAAAGGCATTGATATGGCATGACACAAAACTAGTGCTGCCTTGGCTGGTGCAATCCATCCTTTTTTACAGTGCAGTGTGAGGTTTTTAAATATCAGCACCAGGTGTGATAAAGATTGCATATATTTATCATGACTGAATAGCAACTTTGGCAATAATATGATACAAAATCATGTAAATGCAGATGCATGCATTTGCTGTATATAGCACTGATGATATTCTGGAAGAGAATTCAATAAATAAACAATGTTACTGAAAACATGCCCTCAGATCTAAGAGTTTCTTGCTAATGTATTGCTTTGGAGACATTCTCTCATTCAGTGCAATTTCACTCATATCTAAACAGCATAGCTCTCTCCCTCAGAGGCTTCATGAAAGAGTGTGCCCTAGGGTAGGAAGTTGATGACTGAAGCCCAGTGAGCGCTATGGTGGCTCTTGGGCAGAGCCTTATAAGGCTCCAAAGCATATGCCCACCCTCCTGCTGGCCCTGCTGCCATGCCTGCATTGGCCTTTAGCCACTGAACAATCCAAGCACTGAACAAATGGCCACTGAGGTGGAGTTGGGGGGTGAGATGGTGGCTAAAAGGCTGTTGCTGACCCTGTCACTGGCCCTCTGGGGAGAACTTGCTGACAAATGTCCGGTGGAGACCATAGGAACACAGAATAATTTGGGTTGGAAGGGACCTTCTAAGGTTGTCTAGTCCACCTCTCCTTGCATGAGCAGGGACATCTTCAACTAGACCAGGTTGCCCAGAACCAAGTCCAGACCGCCCTTGAATGTCTGCAGGGATGGTGCATCCACCACCTCTCTGGGCAGCCCATGCAGTGTTTCACCACCCTCATTGCAAAGGATTTTTTACCCATGGAGGAGGCTGCCTTTACGGGTTACCAGCCCCTGGTAGCCATTGGGGACACTGGCAACTTAGGAATGGCAGTGATGGAATATCTGCCTCACGCAGGAGGAAACACAGCTCCCTGGCTGCTGTGCAGTGGGAGGGAAAAGTGCTCACTGGAAATAATGTTTAAAGTAGAAAATGTACTCAGCTGTCCCTTGATTATCGTGAGTGAGAAGTGTTGCTAAAGGAATGGGAAATATGGCACATGTGTGGGACTTGGGGTATGAATTGTGCTGCTGTCAAGGTCTTGCTAAAAATCCACTTTGAGGTACAGCCAAAATCTCAATTACCATGAACAATCACCCTGTCTCTGGGAGAAACAGGGTGAAAGATAGGATGGGCTCTCAAGGGGCTGATGAGGAGGCAGAACTGCAGCTCCGATCCATGGGGTGCTAGCTTTCTTACTCAAATTTTGAGTGCAACTACAGGCCAGAAGTGTGGGTAGTTACAAATTTCATTTGCATGCAAAACATTCTTACCACTTTTTTGTGAAATCTACTGTAAGGTAGAAGTGCAGGACCAGTTCAGAGCAGAAACAGTGAGAGAGAAGAACCCCACTGCTCAATGTTCAGTGGCAGGTGACTGCTGTGGCAGGTTGGCTAGTGGATGCTGCTTATGGGCCCTCAGATGTTCTTTGGAGGACATGTCAACAGAACTGACAGGTGAACTGGGGTTGCTGGTGAGCGTTTAAGGCACAAAACCAGCACAGATTTATAGGAACTTTATAGGTCAATTGCTGAGGTGAGTAGCTCGAGAGAGGACGCCTTGAACACCGGAGCGGGGGAGATCAGCGTCCAGGAGCCTCAACTCAGAGCGACAAGAGCAGAGCCACCGAGGGAGCCTCAAGTCCTCGACAGGACCTGCCCAGGAGCCGGCAGCTCAGCTGACGCGAGCAGGGACTCACAGGGGGCGGAGCCAGGAGGGGCGGTGCCAGCCCTGACTGGTTAAAAGCCTGCCCCACGGAGCGCGCAACAAGGAGCGCGGCGAGGAGAGCTGGTCGAGGCAGTCCGCGCGGGCAGGCGAGCGGGCAGGCGAGCGGGCAGGCGAGCGGGCAGGCGAGCGGGCAGGCGAGCACTCGCCGTGTGACCGGGGCCCGGTCTGGGAGCTCTGCTCTGGCTGCCCCGGTGGTGGCCAGCGTAGGCACCCAGACAGAGCCGATGAGAGGGGAGGCTGCAGTGCAGACTTCGGGGTGTAGAGAGTGCCTGCACTGCTCTGGTGAGGGAAAGGTACACAATGGGCAGGGCTGCACTGGGTGCTCCCTGGTGGAGGCTCTCCTGCAGCAGGTGACTGAGCTGCGGGAAGCTATTAATAGGCTGCAAGATGTCAGGGTAGCTGAGAGGAAGCAGGAATGCTTGCTCCAGGCCCAAAATGTGCAGGGGCTTCAAGCTTCCCCTGTAGCTCATGGAGGAAAGAAGGAGGTTGTTAGCTCTTGAAGCTGGGAATTGGTGACAAAAAAAAACCAACAAAAAAAGGAGGAAAAGGACAATTAAAAGCAAGGGACTTCCTCCTGAACCTGTTGCCCCCACACAGAACCGCTTTGCTGTCCTACAGGGGGCTCATGAGGAAACACACTTGAGCCAAAACAGCCTGGTGATGCACTGGTAAAGATTTCTACTGGTGCTCCCAGGAAAAAGCAGCGAGTCGTAGTGGTAGGGGATTCTACTTTGAAAGGGACAGAGGCTCTCATCTGTCGGCCTGACCCGGTCTCAAGGGAGGTGTGTTGCCTACCAGGGCCATGGATCAGGGATGTGGCAGAGAGGCTGCCTGCTCTGGTATGCCCCACTGACTATTATCCACTTCTGGTGATACATGTGGGTGCTAGGGATATAGATAGTAGTAGCCTGGGGAGCATAAAGAAGGACTACAGAGCCCTGGGAGAGGTGGTTAAGGGCTCTGGATCTCAGACAGTCTTTTTGTCAATTCTCCAGGATACAGGGGAGGACCTAAAAAAAGCTAGGAGGATTAGCCAGGTTAATAAATGGTTAAAAGGGTGGTGTTACAGTCAGGGGTTGGGTGTCTTGAACATGGGACCCAAGTTTGTAGGCCAGGTCTAGCGGGGGCTGGTGGAGCTGGTCCGATAAAGAAGGGGAAGGGCAGTTTTGGTAGGAGGCTTGCCAGACTGGTGAAGGAGGCTTTAAACTAGATGAGTTGGGGGAGGGGGGCATCATCCCATCCCAACACTCCCAGTCAGTTGCCAGCACCTATAATAAATGCTCAGAGCAATGCAGAGATATTCTGTCTGCACCAGCGAATGAGCCGGCTTCATTTGGAGCTCGGCTCAGGTGCTTCTATACAAATGCCCGTAGCATGGGGAACAAACAAGAGGAATTAGAGATGTGTGTTTGTCTACGAGGGTATGATATAGTAGGCATCACAGAAACATGGTGGGATGGCTCCTATGACTGGAGTGTTGGAATGGAAGGTTACAGACTCTTTAGAAAAGACAGGCCTGGCAGGTGCGGAGGGGGAGTTGCCCTTTATGTTAGGGATAGGCTGGAGAGTATGGAACTCTGTCTGGGGACAGGTGAGCAGATAACAGAGAGCTTGTGGGTTAGGGTTAAAGGGAAATCAGTGATGGGAGACATTACTGTGGGGATCTGTTATAGACCACCTGATCAAGAGGAATCTGTGGGTGAAACACTCTATAGGCAGATAGGAAAAGCCTCATGCTCACAGGCCCTCGTTCTCATGGGTGACTTCAACCACCCTGGCATCTGTTGGAATGACGGTACAGCCCGGCACAAGCAATCCAGGAGGTTCCTCAATTGTGTGGAAGACAACTTCCTTCTGCAAGTAATAGAGAAACCGACAAGGAGAGGTGCCATGCTTGACCTTGTGCTCACCAACAGGGAACTGCTCATTGGAAGTGTGACACTCCAGGGCAGCCTTGGATGCAGCGACCACGAGATGGTTGAATTTGAGATCCTTAGGACAGTGAGAAGAGCGTGCAGCAAGCTCACTGCCCTGGACTTCAAAAGAGCAGACTTTGGCCTCTTCAGGAGCCTGCTTAGTAAGGTTCCATGGGATATAGCCCTAGAGGGCAGGGGGGCTCAAGACTCTTGGTTGGTCTTCAAGGATCACCTTCTACAAGCTCAGGAGTGTTGCATCCCAACCAGAAGGAAGTGCAGCAGGAGGGCCAGGAGACCTCCTTGGATGGATAAGGAGCTGCTGAGGAAAATTCAAATGAAAAAAGAGTTTTATAGAAAGTGGAAGCAAGGACAGGTGGCCTGGGAAGAGTACAGGGATGTTGTCCGGGAAGCTAGGGACCAGGTCAGGAAAGCTAAGGCCCAGTTAGAATTAAACTTGGCTAGGGATATTAAGGATAACAGGAAGGGATTCTACAGGTACATAGCAAACAAAAAACAGACTAAGGAGAATGTAGGCCCCCTCAGGAAGCTCTCAGGTGAACTAGCTACACAGGATTTGGAGAAGGCTGAGGTTCTGAATGACTTCTTTGCCTCGGTCTTCTCTAGCAAAGGCTCTGACCGCACCACCCAAGTCTTGGAAGGCAGACGCAGGGACTGTGAGAATGAAGACCTTGGGCCCACTGTAGGAGAGGAATTGGTTCGAGACCATCTTAAAAATCTGAACGTGCACAAGTCCATGGGTCCTGATGAAATCCATCCGCAGGTCCTGAAGGAGCTGGCGAATGAAGTTGCTAAGCCGCTGGCCATCATATTTGAAAAATCATGGCAGTCAGGTGAAGTTCCCGACGACTGGAAAAAGGGAAATATAACCCCCATTTTCAAGAAGGGGAAAATGGATGACCCGGGGAATTACAGACCAGTCAGTCTCACCTCTGTGCCTGGCAAAATCTTGGAGCAGATTCTCCTGGAAGGCATGCTAAGGCACATGAAAAACAACAAGGTGCTTGGTGACAGCCAGCATGGCTTCACTAAGGGGAAATCCTGCCTGACCAATTTGGTGGCCTTTTATGATGGGGCTACAGAACTGATGGACAGGGGTAGAGCAGTTGATGTCATCTACCTGGACTTGTGTAAAGCGTTCGACACTGTCCCACACGACATCCTTGTCTCTAAATTGGAGAGACATCAATTTGATGAA